ATACTCCGAGAATGATGAACTTTCAGTGACTAGCATTCGGTAAGGAAGTAAATTGTTTCTGACTAGTACACAAGTCATGATTGGTTTCCCAGCAAACATTCCCCCGTGACATGCTTGAAGTTATTTTTGAAGCTTCCGTGAGACTTTCTGACTCCGTCGTTGCTCCAGTGGTACCGGGTTTACCTTGAGCCAACTATGGGCTGAGAAAACATCGTCACGGTCCTATTCATCGCGATAGGATCCATCTTCATGAATTCGAGAATGTACGACGATTCAATTAACGAGTGTACCTGAGATCTGTCAATCTTCGAGATTCAACAGTACCATCTTCCTGAATTCGAGAATGTACGACAATTCATTGACGAACTTGGATGTACCCTGAGATCTGCCAATCTTCGAGATTCAACAGCACTGAGCCCCAGTACAAGTTCGATGGGTTGCGCCGTCCGACCTGATCAATATATTAATGATTCCAGACGTCTGGACTTTGGCACCGACAATCTGTTGTTGCTCCCGTATCTCGCCGAACACAGGACAAGATATTTTTTCCTCCACTGCAGAAGCAACCATGCAGAATGTTTTCCGGCCTGGGGATCAACCACTGAGACGGCGTCTATAGCTACCTCCAGCTTTGAAGAGATAGCTGAATATCCCGCACCGGCGAATGATATCAAATTACAGGTAAGTACTTCGGCGACGCTAGCGCTATGCGCAATCACTAAAAGTTGGTCAAATCGACGTGTTGCGGTTGTCCCGCAATAGAATGCGCTGACGGGTCAACTTGACGCTGTTGAAGATGTGTTGTGTAGGTGGCAGTTGCCACCGTTGGGCTGACACTCGATCAGTATTACTAGCAGTCAGCTCGTGCTTCGCTACGAACTATGCAGTGAAACTCTCTTCCAATAGTCAAGAGTTACTTAACACCATTCTTGCTCAATTCATTGCCCAAGAAATACTAAAGAAGTCTGCTCGATTGATCACTCACATTAATATCCTTCTCATGAACAAAGCATCTTTGAATCGGGGACCTCGGACATGTTGAAATCCGCTGTCCAACTTTGAGTGATGTACCATACATAGCAGTATGCCCGTGATACCTTCTTTATGCTCACAGTTTGAAATAATACTAAAGACGCCACTTGTCGTCAACCTTTGGTTGGCTCCTCGCCGCCTCATGAGCAGTTTGCCCGTAGTACATCACGGTCCATAAATCTTTCCAGCACGTTTCTTGTCTCTTGCAGGACTCTGCACAGTCACAAAATGTGGATGTTACCCTGACACATTCTTGTCAAATTTAGTACCTTGAACATCCTTTGCCTTCAAGCTCACGGGTCGTTAAATTGAACAAAAGGGTCACTCTTGATGTCTAACCGCAATGCGGGCCGGACTCCAACCTCCGCTCCCGTTCTTCAACCTTTATCCATAAATTTTGTGCTTGAGATGGAATATTTTAGTGAAACCATGATATATATATTGATATTTCTATTTGGCCGTAAGTCCTCTCTGTCGTCTTGCCCGTGTCAAGTAATATCTGGGAGCATTATGGAGAAATTTACCTCTCCGTGATTCTCCTTGGATTCCCTCACTCTTCGTTGACCCAGTGATCATCTTTCAAACTCGCTTTGGGGCTGAGAACAGGCAAGAGTCCACACACGGTTGACTAATTAACACAAATAAATGGTTAGTTACATACCTGGGCACCTATATTAGAGCCTCTGCCAGGGTTGCAGATATACGGGAATTGAACTCAGCTTTCTCCTTTACTGCCGGTTGTGACGTGTTAACGACCTGCTGCTTTAAATTCAGGTCACCGGTACTCTACTTTGATTAAAAACTGCTTGGGCTTCTTGGGGAGCAATGACCGCAGTTTGGGCTGTTGAATGGTGTTCATGGGAGAAGGAGGGTTGCTGTCGGGTAGAAATGGGCAAAGGAAAAGCTATAAATAGAAGTTCAACAGTTGGGTAGGGCAACGGTATACAACTCAACACCGAGGTGGACCTATGGATATAATGATGTCAGTTGGAGTCTGGAGAGCCAATCTGGTTATCATTGGTTGAGCATTTCAAATTTTTCAGCAGAAATATTGGTGGAAATGTCCATGATTTTTCACACCTTTTTTCACTGAAAACATATCTGAAAAACTTATATACATCCGGTTTACCTCTACTTCTTTCCCGTGGTAAGTCAGATTAAATTGAACTGTGAGAACACAAACATGACAACTTAACGCGCAATGCAGACGCGGGGAGTCGAACCCCAACAGCTGCTTCAACTGCTTCATCCGAGCCATTGACTGCAGCAGTGCACCGCGCACCACATCTGCTTTGCACCTCTACTTTCTACTTGCGGTAAGTCAGATAAAGTTTTGTTTGAGAAGAAAAAAGTGTTATCAGCAGGAATGGAATAAGCCGGACGTGGGGAGTCGAACCCCAACAACTGCATCAAAGGAATGGGTTACGCTACAGAGATTGCAGAAGTGCACCGTGCACCACATCCGCTTTCCCTTCTCATTCCTTTTTGTGGTAAGTCAGTTAAAATTGATGAACTGTGGGAAAAAATATTGTTACAATTGGAATGTGAACCCCAACACCTCCTTCAATGTCATCGATTTATGCAAATGCAAGGAGAGGTGCACCGTGCACCACGTCCGCTTCTTCCTTACCCTTATAAAGGAGATCTTATAAGTGAGAAAAATTTGAGTTGAATTGTGATAGAAAAAAAAATTGGAGAAAACAGGCAGATTGCGGACGCGGGGAGTCGAACCCCGGATTGCTACTCAAACCTGTACAGGGTCAACTGAGTGAGTGCAGCAGTGCACTGTGCACCACCTCCGCTTTACACCTCTACTTCCTTCTCGAAATAAGTCAGATTAAATTAATTGAACTGTCAGTGAAAAACATATTTGCGACCACGGAATGCAGACGTGGGGAGTCGAACCCCAAATGGATTGCCGCAGATTTATTCAGTGCAGCGGTGCACCATGCACCACGTCCGCTTTAAACCTTTACTTTCTTCGCGTGGTAAGTGTGATAAATTTTGGTACCACATATTATTATTAACGCAAGTCGGTGTCCTTGAACGTCGGGACGTCGACAGGCATCGCCGCCAGGTCGCAGGTTAAATTTGTTTCGCGACAGGCCGGGGCCGTGGTCTCGAACTTCGCAGGAAGGCCGAAGGTAGGTACATACGTCTGTCGATTTTGACAAGAACTCGGTCCAGGGAGATCGCCGTGTCTAGTAACGTTGCGCGGATATGAATTTAATTCAACATTTGGGGCACCGATCGGCACCGTCTCACCTGCTTACCTACGTATGACATTCATTGGCTCCACCTATTCTGTAAGTATTCATCATCAATATAAAGTATCATCAATTCAATTTCAAGTTCTAGTACTGAGAATGGGGAGGATCCACGTACAGTACACAACACGGCGACCTACCCTTTCGCCGGGGCCTCCCGCGAGGTCGTTCCTCAACCTCAGGCTTTCGAACGACGAAAGTTAGCTTGGGATTCGGATTATGGCACCAGATTTGCAATTTTAAGCTCGTCGCGCTGGCACGGGGCACGCGAGTGTAAGTCACAAAGAAGGGATGAATAATTGAATGCAAAGCTCGAGTCCGGTAAGGTTCTGGGAAGTTCAAGTTGGAAGGGAAGACACAAAAGGATGAAGGCGCCGCTGCTCCGCTCGGTGGGGATTCAGAGTCCACTGGACATCGACGGCGAGTTGATTAGGCGTTGGGTCGCCGGTCTGAGATTGGGAGGCTTTTTCGTTGGCGTCGTTGTCTTTGCTAGGCTTGGCCGTTGGATTCAAAGGAATAAGAACGAGGAAAAGGTACCGGCCTTGAGTAGAGAACACCGAGAGTCCATCCGCGGATCAACAAGCGCCAAATAACCAATTAGGCTCCTCGGTCGCCCGATTAGGACATCAGGTAAAGAGTCGATTTTCGTACCAAATTCTTAGACTTGACTTGTCTCGCTACTCCTACAACAACAAAACACACAGAACAGAATATTAATGGACTCGATGTACCCCGACTTTGACTACGACTATACTCCCCCCAGCACAGGCTGGCCGTTTGACCCTCACCCCCTCGACGACCCTTTACTCGCACCGCGTATAACCATCGGAGGCAGCCTCGATCCTGCGACGGGCATCTTCTACCGCACCCCGGAGCATCCTAGGCTACGCACCGCACAGGCGTGCGAGAAGTGTAGGAGTAGGAAGGCGAAGGTTTGTTGTTTCTTTCCTTTCCTCTCTTCCTTTCGCATGTCTCACTTCTCACCCCTTTAATTCACAGTGCTCAGGCGAACACCCCTCCTGCTCACGGTGCCTCGTGCGCGGGCTGCCCCGCGAATACGTACAAGCAGGACACGTCCACGGGCCCAACAAGCAGACTAAATCGAGCGCAGGGTCCTCCGCCTCGTCCTCCTCGCACTCGCACTCGTCAAGGGGATAGGTGTCGCCTGCGTCGCTGGCGCCGCCGTATCCTCTGCCTGTGAACGTGAATGCCAACGCTAATGCGAAGAAGAGGCGCAGGAATACGACGCTTGCAACCACCGGCATGGGCATGGGCTTGGGGATGGGCGTGGGTACGGGCGTGAAGCTCGGGCCGCTCTCGAGCTGCGTGCCGCTGGGGCTGCCTCCGTCGAGTAACGGTAGTATCAACGGCAATGGTAGCGCGCACCACGGTAGCTGCTTTAGATACCACAGTTCCTTATCTCTGAAATTATGCAGCGGTGTACCACGTCCGCTTCCGTCTCTACCTGCTTTTCCTTGCAAGGAAGATAAAATCAGTGTACTGTGAGATATAAAAATGGTCGACAGTCGAAGTATGCGGACACGGGGAGTCGAACCCAAGAGCTGCTTCGAAGATCTGCACCTTCTCATACAATACAGCGGTGCATCATGCACCACATCCGCTTTATACCTCCGATTCCTTTTTGTGGTAAGTCAGTTAAATTGAGGTGAATTGTGAGAAAAAGAAGAGAACCTCCTCATATGCGGACACGGGGAGTCGAACCCCGACACCTCCTTCAACTGCGTTGTTCCTGAACGGATGGAGAGGAGTGCACCATGCACCATGTCCGCTTCTTCCTTATGCTTATAAAGGAGATCTTGTAAGTAAGAAAATTCATTGAACTGCGAGGAAAAATGCAGACCTCCGAATAATGCGGATCCAGCAACTGCATCAAATATAACAGTTCCTCCTTATTGAATACAGCAGTGAACGATGCACTACGCCCGCTCCGCACCTTTATTTCCTTCGCGTGGTAAGGGTGATAAAATTGAGTTGAACTGCGAGAAAAAGAAGTGAGCTTCATCATGATACTGTATGCGAACACGGGGAGTCGAACCCCAACAGCTGCTTCAAAGTTCTGCACCTTCTCATGCAATACAGCGGTGCCCCATGCACCTCGTCTGCCTCGTAGCTCATTCCTTATGGGGGTAAGTCATATTAAATTGAACTGTGAGAAAAAAAATGCGATGATTAAGCAATGCGGACACGGGGAGTCGAACCCCAACAACTGCATCAGATAAATGGTCTACCGTATACAGAGTGCACATGCACCACATCCGCGTTATACCTTTTCCGGCTCCATCTTATAAGAGAGATTAAATTGAACTGTGAGATCAAAAAGTGGTGGCCACAAGACATATGCGGACGCGGGAAGTCGAACCCCAACAGCTGCTTCAAATGTAACAGTTCCTTCTTATTGAGTACAGCAGTGCACCATGCACCACGTCCGCTTTCCCTCCTCATTCCTTCGTGTGGTAAGTCAGATAAAATTCTGTTTGAACTGTGAGAACAAAAAGATGACAACTAACGCACAATGCGGACGGGGGAGTCGAACCCCAAGAGCTGCGTCAAATCTTCGCCCGGACTACATATTGAGGGCAGCAGTGCACCGTGCACCTCATCCGCTTCCTCCCCATCCTTCTCCATCTTGCAAGTGAGAAAATTTGAGTTGAACTGGGGAGAAAGAAAATGCAGATAATAGACATAATGCGGCCGTGGGAGTCATACTCCAACACCTATGTCTTCAATTTATGCCAATGAAAGGAGAGGTGTACCATGCACCACATCCGCTTTACACCTCTATTTCCTTTTCAAGGTAAGCCAGATGGAATTGATTGAACTAGTACTGTGATAGAAAAAGGTGGAGGTGGAATATGCGGACGCGGGAGTCGAACCCCAACAGCTGGCATCAGACGTAAATTCGATCTCACGAATTGAATACAGCGGTGGCCCGTGCACCACGTCCGCTTTCCCTCCTCATTCCTTCACGTGGTAAGTGAGATAAATTTGATTCATTCAAACCGCGTCAAGAAAAAAAAAAGCAGCAGGCAATGAAAGAATGCGGACGCGGGGAGTCGAAGCCCATCATCTCCTTCACTGGTCGGTCAGTTACCTCTAAATAAAAGGAGAGGTACACCATGTACCGCGTCCGCTTTTCTTAACCTGCTTTCCTACTTGTAAGTCAGAAAGAAAAATATCAAAGTACCCAAAAAGAAATTGCACGTCATGCTATGCGGAGGCGGGTTCCTACCCTTTCCTGCTCCTCATGTAAGTGCGAGAAAGTTGAGTTGAACTGTGCGAGAAAAAATGCAGACCTCCGAATAATGCGGATCCGGGGAGTCGAACCCCAAGCTACATTAAGGATAAGACTCAAGTAAAGGATAAGACTCAGGAAAGGATAAGACTCAGGTTAAGTGTAACTGCGACCCGATATCGAGTGCAGCAGTGCACCATGCACCGCATCCGCTTTATACCTCCAATTCTTTTTCGTGGTAAGTCAGGTAAAACTTAAGTTGAGCTGCGGCAAAATTTTTTTTTATGTAAACAACAGGCCGAATGCGGACGCGGGGAGCCGAACCCCGACACCTCCCTCAATGCGATCAGTTCATGTCAACGAAAGGAGAGTTACACCGTGCACCACATCCGCTTTCTGTTCTCATTCCTTTGTAAGGTAAGTCAGATAAACTCTGTCTGAACAATGTCAAAAAAAAAAAGTTTGCGCGTTATGATGAGGACGCAGGGAGTCGAACCCCGACCCGTCCTTCAGCGCATAATCTGTCTCCCTATGAATGGAGTGGGTGCACCATGCACCACGTCCGCTTTATACCTCTACTTCCTTCTTGCGGTAAGTGTGATAAAATTGAAGAACTGCGATAGAAAAAAAGTCGACTACAGGCGGAATGCAGACGCGGGGAGTCGAACCCCAACACCTCCTTCACTGGTCAGTTCCCGCTAAATGAAAGGAGAGGTGCGCCGTGCACCACGTCCGCTTTATACCTTTGCTTCCTTCTTGTGGTAAGTCAGTTAAAATTGAGTTGACCTGTGAGAGAGAAAAAAACGTCAATGATCAGCTACAATGCAGACACGGGGAGTCGAACCCCAACACCTCCTTCAATTTTCATTCTCCTTACTATCAATGAATGGAGAGAGGTGCACCGTGCACCACGTCCGCTTCCTACTCTTTCTTGCTCCTCATGCAAGTGCGAGAAAGTTGAGTTGAACTGTGAGAAAAAAGTTGATGAAACTCACTACAAATACAGACGCGGGGAGTCGAACCCAACAGCTGCATCAAATGTTCTCGCTCGGTTGGCTGATTGAGTGCAGCGGTGCGCCGTGCACTACGTCCGCTTTTCGCTCTTATTTCTTCTCGCGGTAAATAAGATAAAATTGAGTTGAACTGTGCGAGAAAAAATGCAGACCTCCGTATAATGCAGACGCGGGAGTCAAACCCTAGCAAGTGTTCAAATCTTCTCAACGACAAATGGGTACAACGGTGCACCATGCACTACGTCCGCTTCCCACCCTTCCCTCCGCTATCTTGTAAAGCAGATAAAATTAAGTGAACTGTGAGATAAAAAAAAGTCGACCAGGAAAGAAGTATGCGGACGCGGGGAGTCGAACCCCGGATTGAGTAGCTACTCAAATCTGTACAGGGTCAATTGAGTGAGTGCAGCAGTGCACCGTGCACCACCTCCGCTTTACACCTCTACTTCCTTCTCGAAGTAAGTCAGATTGAATTTATTGAACTGCAAAAAAAGCACTAGTAACCCAGAATGCAGACGCGGGGAGTCGAACCCCAATAATGCAATTAACTCATGTCAATGAAAGGAGAGGTGCATCATGCACCATGGCCGCTTTCTACTATACTTTCCTCTCGGGTAAGTCAGGTAAAATTTAAGTTGAGCTGCAGGAAAAAAACCTGATGAACCGACTATGCGGACGCGGGGAGTCGAACCCCAGCTGCTGCATCAAATGGATGGTAGCCGATTTATTAAATTCAGCGATGCACCGTGCACCACGTCCGCTTTAAACCTTTACTTCCTTCGCGTGGTAAGTGTGATAGAATTTTGTTCAATTTTGGTACCACATATTATAATTAACGCAAGTCGGTGTCCGACGTCGACGCCGACAGGCCTTTACTCTCCATTTGTTTCATTTGTTTCACGACAGGCCGGGGCCGTGGTCTCGAACTTCGAAGGAAGATAGGTACATACGTCTGTCGAATTTGACAAGGTACAAGGCGAGGGAGATCGCCGTGTCGCACTTACGTTTGCACGGATATGAATTTAATTCAACATTTGGGGTACCGATCGGCACCGTCTCACCTGTTTACCTATCCGCTCCACTGTCACCTATTCATCATCAATTCGATTTCAAGTTCTAGTACTGAGAACGGGGAGGATCCACGTACGGTACGCAACACGGCGAGCTACCCTTTCTCCGGGGCCTCCCGCGAGCCAGGCTTTATCTCAGGCTTTCGAACGACGAAAGCTAGCTTGGAAGTCGGATTATGGCACCAGATTTGCAATTTTAAGCTCGGCGCCGCGCCGGTGCGCGGGTGTACTTAACAAGTCACATAGAAGGAATAATCGAATGTAAAGTTTGAATCAGGCAAGGTGAAGTTGGAAGGGAAGGCACAGAAGGCAGAAGGCGCCGTTACTCGGCTCGGTGGTAATTCAAAGTGGACGGCGCGGCGAGTTGATTACGCGTTAGGTCGCCGATCTGAGATTGGCCTTTGGGTCGTTTTTCATTGGCGTCGTTGGGTCGTTAGGTCGCTGGTTCAAAGGAATAAAAGGAATAAGAACAAGGAAAAGGTACCGGCGTTGAGTAAAACACCGAGAGTGATCTCCATCCGCGGATCAAAAGCCGCCAAATAACCAATTAGGCTCCTCGGCCGCCCGATTTGGACACCAAGTAAAGAGTCGATTTTCGTACCAAATTCTTAGACTTGACTTGTCTCGCTACTCCCACAACTACAAAACACACAGAATAGAACAGAATGGACTCGATGTACCCCGACTTTGACTACGACTATACTCCCCCAGCACAGGTTGGCCGTTTGACCCCCATCCCCTCGACGACCCTTTACTTGCACCGCGTATAACCATTGGAGGCAGCCTCGATCCTGCGACGGGCATCTTCTACCGCACCCCAGAGCATCCTAGGCTGCGCACCGCACAGGCGTGCGAGAAGTGTAGGAGTAGGAAGGCGAAGGTTTGTCGTTTCTTTCCTCGTCTTTTCCTCGCTTTCTTTCGTATGTCTCACTCACTCCTATGATCCACAGTGCTCAGGCGAACACCCCTCCTGCTCGCGCTGCCTCGCGCGCGGCCTGCCCTGCGAATACGTACAAGCAGGGCGCGTCCGCGGGCCCAACAAGCAGACCAAATCGCGCGCGGGGTCCTCCGCCTCGTCTTCGCACTCGCACTCGTCAAGGGGGCAGGCGTCGCCTGCGTCGCTGGCGCTGCCGTATCCTCTGCCTGTGAATGTGAACGCCAACGCCAATGCGAAGAAAAGGCGTAGGAATACGACGCTTGCGACTACGGGCATGGGTATAGGCGTGAAGCTCGAGTCGCTCTCGAGCTGCGTCCCGCTGGGGCTGGGGCTTCCTCCGTCGACCAACAGTAGTGGTAACGGTAACGGGTACACCAACGCGCACGCGCACGCACCGCTCAACGCACACCTCCTCCCCACTGGCGCCGCGAAGAGGTTCTCCCTGCCCGTGCTGCCGCCGCCGCTATCATTAGATACCCAGTCTTCCTCGTACGGCTACCCCGCCCATGTACCGGCGTACCATGGCCATGCGGACGACTACCCGCCCTCCTCCGCCTCCACGTACACAGACACCTCGGACTCAGGCTCGCGCCGCGGCAGCTTCGACCCGCCCTTCCCGCCCTTCGCGCTCGAACGGGGTGTCAAACGCGGATACGAGCAACACCGGTACGAGCACGAAGAAGAGCCGGCGGTGTACGGCGGGCACCCGCTCGACCACCACTCCGACATGGACCACCACAATCACAGCCAGAGGGCGTTCCCACTGGAGGCAGGATATGCGGTCTCGTCTTCCCCTTCGTTTCCCTTCCCCCGCGGCGGCGGGCCACATGCGCATGAGCAAGGACAAGGAGGCGGGGGAATGCGCACCACTAGTGGCCGCCCACGCGCCGTCTCGGACGTGCTCGGCCTCGCGCTCGGGCGGAGGGGCGGGGCTTGGGACGGGGTAGGCGGCCGCTCCGGGCTGGGTATCTCACTCAATATGGGCTTGACTCGCGGAAGTAGTGTTGGTGCGGGCGCGAGGAGTATGAGCAGTGGGAGCACGGGGAGTACGGATGATAGTAGCGCGTGAGTGGGCTTTTCTTTTTCTTTTTTGCTGTTTTTTTTTGGTATTTTTTTTTGGTGGGGGGAGGGAAGACAGGAACGGGCGCGGGGACGGGAATACCGAGGCTTTGCGAGGCGTCGAGGATCGACGTCGGCGGGGGCGGAGGCGGAGGCGTCGTTGCGACGCACGATTTGACTCGCGAGCTTGTCTGTCTCCCTCTCGTTCTCGTCTTTCTTTGTTTTTGGACTGCGCGCGCGGTACATTTCAGAGCTGATGTGCTTGCGCTTCGGCTCCTACCTCGTATTCCGAGTCTTGTTTCCTTCTCCTGGGGTCGGCATGGGCATGGGCAAGCACGGGGCGGGGTGTCGAAGGCCCCGCGGCCCTGGACCGATTCTGCCGCGCGGTGGTACCACCACGCCACGGGAAGGCGGGGGGAGTCGGCGGTGGCTGGTGATGTCAGGATCCGTTGTTGAGGCGGCGTAGGTGCAGCGCACGACTTGACTCGCGACCTTGTCTCCGTGGTACACTTCAGAGCTCGTGTGCTTGCGCGACGACACATAGCGTCTCCCGTCCTTCTTTTCCGAGTTTTATTGCGTATCAGTCTCTTTTTCTCTCCTCAATGATTGTCGACAAGTACTCACCAATTTCTTTTCCTTTTCTTTTTGTTCCTTGGACGCAACGCACAGACCCCCCAGCGCCGTCTCGGGCTCGTTCCCGCTCTTTCGCGCGCCGGTGCCGCCGGAGACGTATTCCCCACACGCACACGCGTACTCTCCGCACCCGCACCCGCACCCGCACCCGCACCCGACTGCGCAACGAAACGCGTACTCCCCCCATCCGCACCCGACCGCGCAGCAAAACGGACACGCACGTGGAGCGGGAGGCGGGCCCGCGTACCCGCACTACGACACGCCGCCCCGCCTCGAGGCCTATGCGTCTTCGCCGCACGAGTCTTCCTATGCACCTTCGCCTAACCATTCCGACGCGTCGAGCCACCATACCCATTCCTACCCCCATTCACCTCATGGGTCTTCCTACGCGCCTTCACCGCACGCCGCCAGCCAGCATTCGCCCTATGCGCACGCGCAGACACAGCCACAGGGCTCGCGCCCGCGTAGCGCCGAGCAGACGCAGGCGCAGATGGAGGCGCAGACGCAGGCTACGTGGGACGCGTACCAAGGGCAGGCGCAAAACGGGGGCGGGAACGTTCAGCTGCAGGGCGGGGCGCAGGGGTACGATGGCCAGCACCAGCACCAGCAAAACGCGCACAACCAGCTCGGGCTGGCGCTGCAGACGCCCGAGCCGCGGTATGCCTTTGCGAGCCCGATGAATGGGCATGGGCATGAGGTGTATTCCGCGGCGGGGCATGACGGGGAAGGGGGGGAGAACGAAGAAGGAGATGGAAATGGGGGAATGGGGTACGGCTTGCAAGGACGGGAGAGGGAATACGACGAGGAGATGGCGATGGACGTGGAGGCAGATACGTCGCAGGAGTCGGACGGGTTCAATGGCGTTGGTGGGACCAGCATCGGCGCGATGAACACGAGCGCGCTGAGGGGGTGGGTGGAGCCGTCGCATGGACATGGGCACGCGATGTCCTCTCTCCACCCCGCCTCTGCCTCCGCTTCCCATATCCTCGATTCATCGGCGGCGGCGGTGAACACGTTCCCCACGCCGGCCGCGCTGGCGCTGGCAATGGCGGCGTCGGCGTCGGGGATGGCGATGTCGTCCGATTTAGGTACGCAAAACGGCACCAACACGACGTACCCCGGCGCGTCGATGTCGATGTTGATGTCCCCCGCCTTCGACGCCGGATCGATGGTCCCAACGCGCTCGATGTCTGGAGGCAACGGCAACGGTGGCGGCCCACCCCTCCTCTCGGTGCGCATCCCGCAGCCGCGCGTGCGGACGAGGACGCGGTCTGGCGCGGGCATGGAGGCAGGGACGGAGATGCACCCGGCGTTGGGGAGCGTGTTGTCGCCGCTGTCCATGGCTGCGAGCATGCCCCCGCTGCCCACGTCCACGTCGGCGGATGGTGCGGAGGGTGGCATGTCCCCGCTGTCTGCGCTGGACAGCACGTCGAGCGACATTGGTGGGATAGACCTTTCGGCATTGGAGGTGGCGGAGGTGCTTGCGGGCGTGGGGCGCCTGATTGCGACACCGGGAACGATGGTGAGGACGCTTTCAGACAGGGCGGCGGCGGCGTCGGCCGTTGAGGAGGGGCTGGCAAGTCCGAGTAGGAAGACGAGGGCGCGGGCGGTGACGGTTAGCGGTCTGGGGGCGTTGTCTTTGTCGTAGGCGTGTCCCCGCCTGAAGGCGAGGTCAGGTCCGAGTGTGCATCCATTCATCCATCCTATCCATCCTACTATCTATCCTATCCTCCTCCGAGTCTCATCCCATCCTATCCTATCCTCCAACGAATTCTACGTTCCTCGTTCCCTCGACCTTCAGCCTACTTTGACTTTCGACTTTCTTCGACTCGGAGTGATTACATACCTCCCATTGGCGTTTCGTATTTCTCTGCAACAGAGCGATGAATTGAGTTATTCTTTTTTTGTGCGTTGACATGGACTTGTAGTATAGCAGTATAGCATCGATAGCGATAGCGTTGGCGTTAGCGTAGCGTAGCCCAGAGGGAGGGGCAATAAAATGTATGATATGAGCAGTTGGTTTGGGTCTTGAGGGGAAATACGTCGAAGGTCGGAAACCCGACAGGGAGAGCAAGGCAAGGCAAAGTACTGGAAGAAAATCGGTTGAGACTCAAGACGGAGAGACGCTCGCAGAGTGATGCCGTTGATTCGCGGAGGGTGTGAATCTGATTGTGATTTCTGTGAAGGGTGAAGAGGGTTACGTCATGTTCGATTTTGTTTGGTTCAACTTTCGGTTGAGGTTCGAATGCGGGTTCGGCCAATGAGAAAGGTGTTCACAAGATGACTGAATTGATGTTTGGATACCCCTAGTGGCTTGCTCGATCGCGAGAAGGATGTCGAAAAAGAAGGAGACTGTCCGTGTAAATTCAAATGTTTCTAACTTTCTCAACCGAAAGTCCGAACTGCAAAGTCATACTACTAGGCATCGTGCATTTATTCTCGTGTTCTTATCGCTGTTGGTGGGTGTAAATGAAAACCGGACGTGGTACGTGGTGCACCGCTGTATTCATACTCCGGAGGCTTTCAAATTTGAAGTAGCCGACGGGGTTCGACTCCCTACGTATGCATACGACGGTGAGAAATAAGTTTTTCTCTAATTCACCAAGATTTAGATTTATCGTGCATTATTTTCGTGAGCTTATCGACGTCGGTGGGTATAGGGGAAGCGGACGTGGTGCGTGGTGCACCGCTGCATCTCATGCATTGCAGAATTTTCAGTTTGAAGCAGCGGACGGGGTTCGAATCCCTACGTCCGCATGGTCGAGAACCAGCCCATTTCTTTTTTCTGATTCTTCAGGATTCAGATTTATCGTGCATCATTTAATTTTCGTGAGCTTATCGACATTGGTGGGTGTAAATGAGAGGCAGACGTGGTGCGTGGTGCACCTGTACCGCTGCATTCATACTCCGGAAAATTTTCAATTTGAAGCAGCTAACGGGGTTCGACCCCCCATGTCTGCATGTTTTGTTCGTTCCGAAGCTTTTTTTCTTTCTGATATCCTGGGATTTGGGCTGAAGCGCCGAAGGTGATACCTGGCAGGTAAGATGGTGTTAAATTAAGCGGACGCGGCTCACGGCGTATACTTAGCTGCACATTATACGTGACGTTACAACCAGCTAACGGGTTCGATTCCCCGCGTCCGCATCCGCATTCAGCGAATAATGAGATTTTTTCCCAGTTCGGTGGTACGATTTAAATTTGAAATAACCGCCAGGGATCGACCACATTCGAGATTGAGGGACGATTGGTTTTTTTTTTCCCGATGTTTTACGCAGGGTTTTCGAAAGGGATCATTAGCTGCATGGGTTTAACGATGGTTAAGCGGACGTGGGGCAGCATGCAGCGGCTGCCGTTGGGAGCATAATTAAGTTTAAAGCAGTTGACGGGGTTCGACGCCCCGTGTCTGTATCAAGGTCAAGAGTTTTTTTTTCTCGGTGGAATCAAACGAAGGCATGTCCAGTGGTGCAGGTCCTGGTTGACGGTTTTCTAAGCAACTGTGTAGACCGGAGCCGGTCTGTCTATGAAGCAACCTTATCCTCGTACAACAATGCCCTGAGTCGAGGCCCGAATAGTAAAACGTGCACAAAATGCGAACCTTCCTCCACGTATACTCGACAAAAAAGTGGCTATATTCTCTATGTATCCTCCGGCCAACTTCATATCGATAGCGCTGATGGATTGAATGTCAGCTTTTGTCAGGTCTTGGTAGGACGGTTACCGAATATATGAGCAGTGTTCATCATGTGCGGACCACGACCCCAGTACAGATAGGGCAGATGAGCGCGCTACCTGAAGTTACATTATCTGGGAGGATGGGTATAGTGCGGATTGTTGGCATTCAGGGCCTGGCAGAGCACAGCAGGATTGGGGTACACAGGCACAACACATACCATTGTATCGTAAAACTCAGACTTGAAGTTCTGCATCGTATCCTCTTCACTCGTTGTGGAAATTATAATTCTTGATTAAAAAATAGTAACCAGAGCCTGCGAGCCACAAACCTTGGGAGAGAGCTGAGAGGGCCGCCACAAATCAAGTGGACCCACCTGGACCCACAAATGTGAATTATGTGATAGATTGTAGAGAATCATGTTTCATCAATGGCATACTCCCGGAAAGAGAGTTTCCGAGGAATCCACGGTAGAAGTCAGTAGTACCAGTCTGTAGGAAGTAAAAATAGTCAAGACGAGAATTTCTTAATGGAGACAGACGTTGCGTGTTCGTGTTTAGAGCAAGCCCTCTGCAGCGCCCACAACATTCTGAGCGTCTCCCGAAGATGTCCGAAACCCCAACGCAGTCGTCTCTTTCTTACAACGCGCCATTTGGATCGTGGCCCAAAGATTTCGACTGGAAGTCGCTCAGCCCCCTCGCAGGACCGATGCCACTCAGTATCACCCATACAAGCCGCGTAGACCTTTTATCCCAGCACGGCGTCGTTACAAAATTCTACAGCTCTCCCGAAGTCGCCGAGTGTATCTGGAAGTTCATGCAGCTTGCCGGGGACTGCTCAGTATCCATCGTCGGCCGGCTCTTTCTGGAACCTAAATCCACCCAGATCATGGGCTTCTGCACGCCCATAGAGGCGGCTCTTGATCCAGTCAATATCGAGACAAGATACGAGCGGATTCGTCTTATTTATCAACTGCGCGACCTGCTCGTCGACTTGCACAGCAAGCAAATTGTCCATGGGGACGTCAAGCCGAAAAACATCCTGATGTGTTCCGATGGCCGCCTACGCTTTTGTGATTTCGATAACGCGTCAATTGAGGGCGATGGCTTTTTTTCGACGAGCACGACGTATCCGTACTGCAGTACCTTTCGCGCACGGAATGAAGCCCTGCCCATGACGCGCGCGGAAGACGTCTATGCGATGGGCTTGACGGTCGGTACCTCTTCTATTTACTACCGTCGTGCTCTAGAAGTTGATACCTAGATGTGGGAGATATACACCGGCAAAGTGCCACTGACCTACAACGACGAGACTTACGAAGACGCGCAGGACGACCTGATGGACCGCTGCGCCGCTGGTTTCCTGCCCGACATGCAGCTGATTGATGATCCCGGCGTCGCGTCGCTCATTAACTCCTACATCGCCGCCGGGCCCGACCGTCCGGACGTGTGCGACCCGTCACCTACCTATTGCGTTGAAACACGCTTCGTTTTCGGGCGATGCACAGCCGAGCCCAGGCACATTTATTCACGGACAGTGCACAGCAACCAATGCGTCCTGCGCACGGACCGCGGCAGTGGGCCGTGTGCGGATCCGTTCGTGGACCCGAAGGTCTTTTCCACGCCGCTCGAGCCCATTTGCACCAAGTGCAATGTAGGTGTCGAGTACACCGGGTTGTTACCGTGAAGGGCAAATATACCATCTCAGTTTATGCTCGAGCTTTCGGTCAATTTATGGCCGCCTTCTTCAAGATCGCCGGTCGTCGGCTGCGAGTTCATGGGGTCAACACGGCGAGGTCACGCATTCATGTTCAAAGGGACCTGTTATACCTTCGTCTATGTACAGGGTTAACGCTTGCATCTCTCCCGCTACGAGTCCTACCGCCACGACCTGGCGGCAAGTTCCCCAAAACGAAACACGCATACCATTATAATCAGCCGATTTTAACAGTCTTCGCGTACCAACTCTCCACGACCTTGCCTTGCAAGTGGCGTCGCCAAATCTTCGATAACACCGAGGCGATCCAACAGAGGGGGTGCAACGGGGAACTTAGCCCCCTTACGGGAATTTTGCATGCCTGCTTTTCACCACTGGGACTTTACCCTTCTCCGGCCCCTGAAAATGGATCCAGCCACCTTCCAACGAGGCTAATACCTTGTTTATGCTTTCCAGGGGTTCGTGGGACTCTTCGATGTATCCACGTGGTCAAGTCATGTACTTCACAATACTGGATTTTTGACCGCCGCTCGAAGCCGAGGCTTTATTTCTGGCCTGGATAGTAGCTTGCTTTTCTCGGTCTTGGAACGGCTTTCGCACATCCACTCCCTGAATTTTATTTGAACGATCCATCCATCTCGAATCCACCGTGGAAGCTCTTCCCGCGTGCATTTTCACGAGTCTGAATCGAAACGACGGCCCCCCAACTGTACCTCCCCGTCGTGCGATTCACGCGTGGGTTTTTTCCCCTTCATGGATTTATCTATTCACCTTGAGCTGGCCGCCACAAAATGTACCATACAATTATACAATACTCGCCAGAATCAATATAATTCACTTGCCGCCACGAGAGTAATAGAACAGAACCCCATCCATTCCTGTCGCGTGGCACAAACTGCACTACGAGGAATGTTCCCTGGAGCGGCGCCACTGGAACCGAGGAGCCGACTTGCCTAGAGGTAAGTATTCTCATAGGAAGCAGTGAGTCGATAAGTGAAAAGATAGGGCAATAAGTTGGACAACCAGAAGGAACTCGTATTAATACTCCTCAATGCAATGATTAATAGCTAGCATCATAGACGACGCCGACTTTGCGCGCCAGACTAGACCGCCAACTCTGAAGCGATTATTCCTTGGCGCCTGATAAACCTTCTCTCCCGTTATAATTTTGCCGGTCGGGGAAGAGTCTAGCGATGAAACACAAACACAAAACGACTTAGTCGGCAATCTGGCAATCCTTGAGATAAAAAAACTTTCTTTCTAAGTGAATTTTCCACGAGAGCTGGGGAAACGCAGTTCTCTTTTTCACTTAGAGTGCGACTTCAAAGAATGAATTTGGCGGCGAGTAACTTGCTTTGGGTTAAAAGATTGTCGGTGACCACTGAACCACAGACACGCTGGTCAGTAGACTCGGTACTAGTCTTACTCGCCAGCAGTTCCGGGCACAATTACTGCGAACTAGAACTGGTGCCGGTACCGCGGGCGTGGTGTACGGCACACAGCTGGTCGCCAATAAAATGTCGAGCTGTGAAAGCTGCGGAACGGGGTTCGACTCCCCCCGCCCACATAGGTGGTCCTTATCAAAGTTTTTGGACGTTGAAAGACCATTCAAGTCGAGATACGTACCTGGTCTAAGAACTGGCATTTGACCCGGTCAGTACTTTGAACTTGTCCTGACTCAATACTATCCGAGATCTCGACTCGCTCCAACGATCCTGCTACCGTCTCAGTTCTGTTCGGCTCACAGACGAGGAGCGAAAATGGCGCCGAGTTTCATTTACGCCATAGATGGACACATTGAACCGCCACCAGATTAGGTCAGAACCAACAGCATTGAGTCACCGGCACTTCGCAAGCTGTAGTGTATCGACCGGACCACCCACTGCGCATGCGCGCTCGCTTGAGATACCGGACTTCAACAGAGTTGGAGTTACATCCCGCAGCGCAACGCAGTGTGAATACCATCTTTGGATGCGGTGTAATAAGGGTGTCTGCCAGGTCGTCTTTTGGTGCTTCAAAACGACACGTCTGATCGCTGGCCCTGTTTCCGCACCCCACGGATGGTTGATCGTCCAACCAGATCCTATTAATCGTGGCGAGTTCCTGGCTGGCAACGTGTAATTGCAGTACTAGTGCAATTGTTCGACTGGACATGGGCAGACGCCAGTGGTTCATTTCAAAGTCGGGTGTAACCGTCGACGAGAGATGCGGTCATCGGCAGCCAAGGGGGAAAAAATGATTTGTTGTTCACCCATAGACGATCGTGAACTTGGTAAGAGCGTCGTAATCCAGCCGAAAATTCGGAGAGTTTAGAACAGATTTAGAAGGTTGATGTTCCACCCTCCGATTTGAAATCAGAAATAGCGGATC